TTGCGGTCTCCTGTTGGGGAACATTGTGGCTTTCTTGTTAAAAGATAAGTGCAAATCCAAAGCGGTGTGTCGACATTGTTTCATGGAGATTGGATCTGCAGCAGCAACACGTCTGACTTGTTAACGCGCTTGAAACAACATCATCCGAACGTGAATGTCTCTTCAAGGAAGAAAAGCAGCTTGTTGCAAAGACCGATAACGGCAGCATTCAAACAACCTTTATCAGGTCATTCAGATCGGTCCAGAGCAATAACACAAGCTGTAGGAGTTTTTAAAGCTCTGGATCTACGTCCGAATGTTGTTGATGCGCCGACTTTAAAGTTATTGCGCCCTGCTACAACATCCCATCACGTCAACACTTCAGCCAAAAAGTTGTAGCAGCACTTTATGAAAAAGCTAAAATTGATATCATCAACCAGCCCTGGACCAGATTAAAGTCCTGCCTTGATGATGATGATGATGACTGAGAGCTTCAACCACCTCTTAACAGAAATGATGGCCGTTCAAGAAAAGGTATTGTTATTTTATTATTATTATCTAATTACCTTTTTTTTTTTTATTTAAAATTATAATCGTAACTCTTTTTTTAACCTCTGTTTTATTTCCAGTCTGGGACAGAGATAACAGCTGCGAGTCGTCTTCCTCTTCAGGGAAATCAGAAATCACCTCCAGCTAAGAAGTCTGTGATGAGAGAACTCTGAACTTTTCCAGGGACCTGTCCCACCTGTGGGAGCAGGTCCAAGAAGAGGTTGTGAGTAATGAGGCCAAATACATCCACACTGCAAAATTAGCAAAGTGCTACCTCTTTATTCCTGCTACTGTTGTTAGTGAGCGGTTTTCTCCACCGCTGGAGATGATGCCACTGCAACTAGATCTGTGCTTTTGGCAGAAAATGTGGACAAGTTGGTCTTTTTGGCCAAAAACTTAAAACTTGATTATTTAGATTGTGAACGGTCTGTTGCTGCTGATTGTTCTGGTTCTGACTGTTACTGTATTTATTAAGATTTTTATTATTGTTAGTATAGTTTATTTATTGTAAAGAGTGCCGTTTATTTAAAATATCATCCAAATGGGTTGCTTTTATTTATTTTTATACAAACGTATTGTTTACTTGGCATATTTTTAAAATAAACATTTTGTAAGTCTTTATTTGGGCCTTTTTTTGTACCAAAAATTAACTGAACCGAGCCCTCCTTGAAACTGAACCGAACAGAAATGTGATTTTAGCGTACCGTTACACCCTTAACGTGCAACGTTACAGTCTATCACCGAAACTCGGCACCAAAAGACAAGGCATATTTTGATACATATACCGACCGAAGCAGTTCGGTCGGTACCATAAAAGAACCAAAGTTCGGTACCAGCCCTGCTCGTGAACTATGAAAGGTGTGTGCCAAAGCGAACATTCTGCAACCACGCAACCGCATGTCAACTGCTCGGCTTCGGATGGAGAATGCTGGGCCCTTCAGTCGTCTAAGCAGCACCTTCATAAGTCCCTTCGTGTCTGTGATGCTGGTGAAACATTTTCACCAGTGATCAATGTTTAGTCTGCGTTCACCAACATTTTTTGCCAGTAATGATGTATAATATGCAACATCAACCATGTGGTGATGTTGGGAAATGACTCCAGCCTCCTACACTGAGCCGCGAGCCTCCTACACTAAAAGTTATTGAGAAGGCTGAGATAATAGATTTTAATTTTTACCACCTCCCACATGTGCCTCCTCTCCTCTTGTTGTTCTTACTCATAGCTAGTTTTTCCCAGTCATAGTTAGAACTAAAACACTTTAAACCAATAATCTTAACATATCCACTCGAGCATCTCCTGAAAGAGTCTGACACTCAGTAGCTTGGAAATTCCAAGCGATCCACAAGATGACTGACTGAGAGCATACTTATTAAATTACATATGTATTCATTTATTGAGATTTTTGCCTTCTTTATTGTAAAAGATGCAAACAACATTTTTTTTTTTTTTTGGCCAGACAACCAGATTCTGTAAAGTGGTGATCCGTTGGACAACCTGAAAATTTTCCTTACGTCTCTGGTTTGTGACAAAGTGAAACACAAAAAGCTGCAAATCTGATAATAAAGCAAAAGTTGTTTTGGATTATACGATAAAAAATAAAAAATAAACTGTCTCAAAGTTTTTCCAAAGTCAGAAATCAGAAATAGCTCAGCCTTCATCAAACAAAACTACTTAAGCACTGGCTTGCTTAATAAACCGGTTACAACTTACAGATAGATTTCATGCAATACAATTATAATAAAAGACTCATCCATCCATTATTTTCTGCTTGTTCTGGAGTCAGGTCGCAGGGACAGCAGAATGAGCAGGGAGGCCCAGACATCTCTTCTCCCAACCACATCTTCCAGCTCTTCTGGGAGGAGCCCAAGGAGTTCCCAGGCCAGCTGAGAGACATATGGCACTTTGCCACTGTTTCAACTCTCATCAGTTCAGCAGTACACCGCACAAGGGCCTGCTGCGCACTGGCAGTACCCACACCCCCTCAGCCCAGTTTATGGGATCAGCTTGTTCATGGTTTCAGTAGAACTCCTCCAAGGCAACGATTCTGACCAAAGCAGACAGCAGCCATTGATTGGCCTGCAGAGCGACGTCACTGGATGACATGCCCAGCAAAACTGCCAAACTACATCTGAGCTTCAACTTTCTCCTCGTGTTGACATCCTACAAGAAATTAGCATATTTACAGAGATAGAGATGATGGTGCAGCATGGCTACACCCAGAATTATAAGTAGTACTGGGATAACTTAAAGAAATTGAAGTCCCACTATAGGACAATTTAGGACCACAACGGGCGGAGTGGCTCAAACACAATGACCCGTTACAATCCCACCCACGGGGAGGGGGGGGGGGTAACAGTGGCAAATCACCTACACAAGAACTGATAAGACGAGAGCTGAGTGAAGTCACACTTATCAATGACAAAAAACTGGTTTTAATACAAACATGGTTAGTTGGTTTAACAGCTACTTAACTAAACACATTCAGTTTGTTCGATTTGGCTCCGTTCTGTCAGATGCGGTCACACTGAACAAAGGGGTCCCACAAGGGTCTATTTTAGGGCCCTTGCTCTTTTTACTCTATATAAATCAAATCTGTGATCAGCTTAAATTCTCCTCTTCCCTGGAGTAGGGTTGACCCTTAAAATGTGAGACAGCTGAGGAAGTTAACCAGTAAACAGAAATACCTGCTCCTGTTGTAGAAATCTTACAGAAACTGACAATCACTCATCTGCAGTGACTGATTTAAAATGTTGAACAAGAAAATGTGAAGTTAAAGGAAACATCCTTTGTCCTAAGGCCAGTTTAAGTATCATTAATATTTTTCTTTCTTTATGAATCAATTGTAACAATTTTCACATTTTTCAACAACCAAAATGGATTTTGTTTTTTAATGTTATGGCTAGGTATTAAAAAAAAAAAAAAAAAAGCTCTCCCCACTACCCAGTTATGTTGCTCTTATTTTGAAATGTAACCGGAAGTTCTGTGTTAAGAGAGGCGGAAAGAGAAGTTATGGAGACGCCGCTAATGTCGAACCAGTTAACACCATAGACATAATATGCCTGTGGTTAACACAATCTGCCAATAACGCCTTTTTTTAGACATAATGTGTCTGTGGTGGTTAACACAAAGGGCTTTTTATCGTTCAGCCTTTTTTTCTATCGTCCAATCAGATGTGGCCATTTTTATATTGTCCAATCTGATGTGGCCCGCCAGACACGCCCATTTTCCTATAGTCCAATCAGATATGGTCTCTTAGATAGCCTTCTGAATTTGTCTGCAGAGATACCTACTTGCTTCCCTGGGGTCTCTTTCCAGTCGGGCATGCCTGGAGCACCTCCCTAGGGAGGCGCCCAGTGGGCATTCTTACATGATTTCTGAATCACCTCAACTGGCTCCTCTCAATGTGGAGGAGAAGTGGCAATACCTGTCCAGGTGTCCCTGTGATGGACTGGAGACCTGGCCAGGTGTCCCTGTGATGGACTGGAGACCTGTCCAGGTGTCCCTGTGATGGACTGGAGACCTGTCCAGGTGTCCCTGTGATGGACTGGAGACCTGTCCAGGTGTCCCTGTGATGGACTGGTGACCTGTCCAGGTGTCCCTGTGACGGACTGGAGATGTGTCCCCCGGCTCTCACACAGTGACCCGAAAAGGAAGAAGCGGGTAAAGATGATGATGGACTGTATATAATGAAGTAAAGTGTAGCAAATTGAATTAACTACCCCCAAAAGTAATACAACATTTACCAAAGTGTCTACATGGAAACAGCGTTTTCTCTTAACTTCGTTTTAAAAGATATTCACAGCAAAACAGGACAACTCCGATGTGTGGGAGCATCCAGGTGACGGAGGAAAGATGAATGTTTGCAATAAAAACACCCAACAGATCTGGAAACATCCACACAACAAGTCGCGGTCACCGGCAAGCTCAACTTCACCCAACACAAAACTTAAACTTGGTAAAAATCCAAACTCCGTCCGTTCCCAGTCCAGTTAGCCGATGCTAACCGAGGAATGCGGCTAACAAGCGGTAAACAAACTCCAAAGTTTGTTGTAAATATGATTCACATGAACGAACACGGAACACATTATGTTTATCTAATCTCACTTAGTGGGCTTTTAAATGTTTACTTTGTGTTTCACGTAAAAACACCAAAAACTCGAGCTACGGTCGAACTGGGGCAAACTTTTTCCCACTCAGGATGCGTCTATGTCCTGGCGCCAACGCAACACAATCTCTTCGAAGGACTATGTATATCATTTCTATCTGCAATCAAAATATTTAAAAAAAACTTGGTTTTAAATTTAACACATACTGTTTTGAATAAAACCAAGTGGTTATTTTGTGAATAAATACGACTGTTTTAAACCCGACATATTTTTGCCAGGTGTGCTTCAGCAGATAGACGGCGCTGGAAAGTCGGGTTTAGACCCGCAGGCTGAGTGAAGTTCTGATTCGGGTAAATGTGCCTCACCTGTCTCCTTGGTTCTTTGATTTACACTCCAGGTGTTCCTCCTCTTCTAGGATGCAATTAAGTTGATCAAAACCAAACCTGGAAGCAGCTCAGAGCGAAAGAAAGTCGCATTTCCAGCGGTTTGTAGGAGATATTTCCAGGAGCGTTTTCCTCCAGCTCCGCGAACACTCGCTCTATTTTTTTTCCCACTCTTACCATGGAAGCTAATTTTACAAAGATCGTCTATTACGAGGACAACAAGTCACTCCGAGGCAAAAACGCAATGTCTCGACTTGTTGACTGTATTTTCATAAAACTGGGGTTAAGACACATGACTTTTGGTTTAATTACTGCTGTAGTGTTGGAATATGTGAAGCTACTGTGAAAAAAGTCTTAATGCGTAAATCATTTGATTTGACCGTAGTTTCATTCCAATAAGCCATATTTTTTCATTCACAAATAATTATTTAGTGATGATCAAGATAAGTTCAGGAATAATACAACAGTTTGGAAGTTTGGAAAATATAAAAAATGAGCGCTGGATTAGGACATTTGCACAGTAACATGTCTATTTGGTGAAAGTTAGACATGCGCATCTCTATTTTAAAATGGTTCATTCATAATTTTATTGTTTATATGAATGTATAAACAAATAAACTGTTACTTAATTTATTTTCTGTGACAATGAATAAAAATTTAAATGTTGCTATAAAACAAGCCAGTTTCACATATTTCTTGAAGAACTGTAATCCTAAAATTGTTTTTCTTTAAAAAAAAAAACAAAAAAAACATTAGAAATAACAAAATGTTAAAGTCACTTTCGGAATTTGATTTCAAATTATTGCAGTGGTTATAAATAAAGATGATAATGCTTCTCATGCAGCCAGTTTGGTTTGTTGAAAAAGTTGTCAGAGTGAGATCTCTTTGTATTTTGAGCTCTCTGCTGCTCAGAAACCTTTTTGCTTTGAAATCAAAACCTACCGTCTCCTTGTTTCCCTCTGGTGGCGATACATGGAATAACACTCCAAACCGACCATCACTACATATAATTACAGATAATGACCAAACAGGAATCATGAGTTTGAGTTTTGACTGCTGCTTACAGCTCATGTTGCAACACTTTTGTCAGAGTTACAGAAAACTGATGACAAATTTGACAAAACTCTAGACTTAAACAGAAAGAGGAACAATATAAAGGTCAAACGGTTAAACAGTCATAGAAAAACTCCCTTTTATTGGAAAATGTGAATCCTCTCTGTTAATAAAATTGTTGTTATATACCTGGATGACTGAGAAAACAAACTTTGTGTTTTTGAAACCATTAGTGAAAAGGCCAGACTTCAGGGGTATCTGAGGCAGGCTTAAAACACAAGAGTCAGGGTGGCTTCTGGGTAATACCAGATGGCTAGGCCTCAGACTGACGAAGCCTCTTGGATGAGGGGCGAAACGTTTCTTTTTAACAAAAAAAAAACGAAGTCCAGATGACATGATTCAACCTTTTTTGTTGTTATATACCTGGATGACTGAGAAAACAAACTTTGTGTCTCTCTGTCAATACTTGATGCAGAAACAGTGCTACAACGGAGTTGTTTCTTTGTTTAGATGGGGTCAATTTTAAATTCTATTAGAAGTAGAATGAAACAAGGAACAGGCCTCTAAATAATTATATTCTATCCCAAAAAAATAAGAAGATTTGGCTAATAATAATAAAGGCCAGTTATTCAAGTATCCTGCTACATGTCTTCAACTCAAATTGTAAAAGGCAAACAAACAGACAAGAAACATTTACAGTAGAAGATTTCAAGTGATTGAGGTGCTCATTTTATTTAACCTGCAGTACAAATCATTCTGCACATGTTCAAAACCTGTGAAACCAACGAAACAACGCAGCATTTTGACCTCCTGCCTATCTGTTCTGCTGCACTTCAGACAGTGAACACTATTTACTAACCCCACAATAAAGTGACACAAACTAACACAGACGTGCTGCCACAAACACTGCTGCATGCACACATACACACTCCAGAAAAAAAAAAAAACTGTATAAAAGAATTTTTTTTTAAAAACCAGACTGTAGAGTTGTTTATGAAAAGGCACGATGCGCTAACGGAAGGTCTCGACATTTTCTAACTCGTCACAGAAACTTTGTGACTTGGTTAAACTAACAACACAAACCGTTCTAAACCCAAAAAAAAACTGTCACACATTCTAACTGAGGTTCTGTTAACACTGGAGAACTTCAGTGTGAGATCTGCCCACTGGAGCTTCTTTAATGACCACAAGATCATTCAAAATAAGCTCAAACCACTGAAGTGATTTGGAAACAACCCAAAACATTCAGTGGTCAGAAACTTTAGCAAAAATCTGAAACGAGCTGCTCGGACCTGTTCTAAGAAAAGTGAAGTATCTTGTTGATATTTACTGAATTTTATCATTTGTCATGTATTCAGTACAAACTGGGCCATTAATTTGGGACTAACAGACACATCTGCAATGTATTAGTGGACTTTTGTCCAAACATTTATAGATTATAAGCCAGGGCACAATGAGCTTCAAGTTAGTAAACGTTTAATTCAATCTTTCCTGTTATGCAGATGATGTGATTCTATTGTTGTAAGGACAGAATGATCATCTGCTCTGAATTTAGTCTGAGGCTGTGAATACAAGTCAGAAGAAGGTGGACTGCAAAATCTACATGGCTTCAAGTGGAAGCGTCACATGGGCGTGGCGTGGCTCACCTTCATGACCTGCAGCAGACCCTCATGGGGAAATTAGTTCTGAAGTTCTGCCGTGTGAACCGAGCTGCTAAACATTCAAGCTGTAGTCATCCACGTTGACAGAAAAGTTACAAAAAACAATACAGGAGATTAAAACTAACAGTCAGATTTGTGAATCTTCAATAAATCAGCTTTTCAACAAACAATACACAAGTCAATAAATATAAAACTAAAGGTTGGTTGTATATTGTGACTGTAGGTGAAATCTGGGTGTTTTTTTTTTATTTATTTATTGAACAACTTATCATCATCATTATTGTGGATGTTCTGCAGGAGCTTCACCTGAGCAGGTTCACCTGGAGAAATGACTCTACGTGCAGAGAGAAGCAACAACATGCACAGCATAAGAAATATTACAAGTTTTACAGTTCAGCTTGACACTGAGGCAAAACAAAGTCATGTTTTAAAAAATAAAAAAAAGTTCTTTAGGAGATCTGAGCAGGAGATACTGTTCAGATCAAGCAGCTGATTCGTCTCTCCTCTTGTTAACGAGTCAGACACAGCTCAGGTAACACATCCTGACTCGGATAGAGACAAACCAAACATGTTAATGTATCTTTGAAGTAGAGATGCACGATATTGGATCGGACATGCTGATAGGTTAAAACTTATTTGGCCGATAACTGACACCAATACGAATACTTTTTTCCTTAGATCTACTAACAGAGGCTACATAGGTTTCTCTGCTGTGGAATTAAAATACTACATTATTCTGCATGGTCTTTTCAATTTGGCCTGCTACCAAATGCAGATGGCAAAAAGGGTCTGAAAATGATGTAACACTTCAACTTGGATTATGTTTAATGTCAAATTTATTCATGACATTTACTCTCTCTAACACAATGACAACACTTGAACAATGCAAATGTGTAAATTTTCACAAATCTAAACTCAACGGCGCACGTGACGTCATAACAT